CACCTACCTGACTGGGCAGGCAGGACCTGCGGGTTTGCACGAAGAAAGGCAAGTGTCCACGGGAGGAGCAGGGTACGTATCCGCCACCTCGCAGGTAGGTATCTTATGGTTCATCGTGCAACTCCGGGCTCACTCATGGCGACATCAGGTGGTACCTCATGGAGTCAACTGTCATAAGGTATGTAGTAAGTTGCGGATACGGATACAAGGTATCTTTTAACCCCATGAGGTCGATGGCGTTTTCACCACGCGATGGGCAACGCGACAATCGGCCATGGGTCTACGCTAGGTAGCGTAGCTAGCTGACTGCCATTACCTTTTCCCAGGAATCGACTAATACTACACATAGTGACAGACAGGAATTGCTCATGAACAATTGCTGGAGGATCAAGAGTAGAGCGAGGCAAGAGTGGACGCTATTCTTTATTAGGAAGTTAAGACAATATGTCCCCACACAGTGTACATCATCTCTCGAGGTACTTCATCCGCTACCCGTACGGGTACCCGACCGAGTCGAGGAAAAGAATGCAGGGTAAATGAGGGAATCAATGTTCAATGTATTGTGTGCCGGGCTGCAGTCTGCATGTAAGGTATTGCTCGCTCGGCCTGCAGATGCATGCGGGCTAAGCTACTGGATTTATTCGCCTTTGCGCCATGGAACTTACCGTTCAAGCCCATCAGTAAGGTGAGTGCGGAGCAGAGGCCACCAACATGTTTGGGAAGATGACATATGAAGGAATGCCTCGAGACATGGCCAGACTGTCTCCTTCACTAACACCAGAACCTCCATGAATACAATCTCCCAGGATCACGAGCAGGAGCTGCTTGCTCTTGCTCCTACCTTACGGAGTACTCTCTACCCCTGACACACCGCACGCGAGCAAGCTGACCTGGTCCACTGGATCGGTTTCTTTGACCAAACGAACTCGGACTCCGGAGCGCGCAACAGAAGATGCGTGTTTGGTGTCAAGTCAGGGGGGACAATGTCTGCTCCGTGGCCCGTTCATCATCGGGCCCGTTTCTTGTCGAACAAGTTGTTGTTCTGCAGCATCTCGCGGCAGTACAACTTCACACAAGACAAGTAAGGCATAGATTCGCTGGAAAGCCACACGAGATGAGCAGCAGCAACACAGCATCGTGCAGAAGAAGAATGATGTACTTCTCGGTCGACGTCAGCGATTTCCTTTCCCTTTTACGAACATCGCGACAACAGACGACAGCACAAATACACGGGGTGGCATGCAGCTTAGATGCCTTATGCTCGGCATCGGCGTCAGTCAGCAATCAGATCCAGGTTCCGGGGAGAACTGGCGAGCGCTTGCCGATCGAAGAACGCCTCCCCTTACCCCCAGTCATAACTTCCAAGTACTCCGTATATGTCGAGCCCAGTTGAATCGGATCTTTTCCGTGCACGTGACAGTCCGATCCTCATCCCGGTCCAACACTTGTCAGAGAAAACGGTGGCACTTGCTTCGCCTGATTCACTCACCACCTGCCTGCGTCCCTCCAGACTCCAGTATCCTTTTCTCCTTCCTGCACCGTGTGTAATTAATATTCGTAGTTTCCGAGGCTTCGACCGACCTTGTCTGCTCCACCCCTCCAAACCGCTCTGCCCGGTGCACTCGGGGAGTCGGGACTGCAACTGACACGGCGTTTCGTTTCGTTGGACAAATTATCTGACCTCAACCGTCCTTTCTACCGACCTGTTGGGCGCCTGTCGCTCACGCCCGGCTCTACCCTCCTCCTCAAACTACCTTACTTGTACTCTCGCAACCGGATAACCCGTACGTGTTCGTTCGCATCCCGCCAAACTTGTCCGCAGGACGTTAGAGACCGTGCGTGCGTGATGAGTTCGCAGCGCCTCGAGCCGCGGTTCACGCCCTCGACAGGCTCGCTTTGCAAACTGGGGCACATAGAATCTCTGCCGCTTTCGGTCTCCGCGCAATCTGACGGGATGGTTCGCAAGAATCGAGTTCAACGGGGCAACCGATGCAGTCCAGCCTTGCGCTCGGCCCATGCCCTGAACCCAAGTCAAGCTCGTTTTCGAATGCAGTGTACGGATACCTCAATGGGTGCCACTGGTGTTCGTGTCGCTCGGCGGTCACTGATTTGACATGAACCGTATGCTGAAGGGTCATACTCAAGTCAATCAAGCTTGTTGGTCTGCATGAACCAAATATTGCCGTATTGCTCGGACAGGCAATGGTCCTTGGCCGCTAGACTGCCGAGGGCCAAGTTCGGGGAGTAGTATATGGCTCCCACGGCGGGTTCTCGTCATTGCCGTTCTCTCTCTTCCTCGCGTGGTGATCGATGCAAGAAGAACCCATCCAGGGGGACAAGCTGTTAGATGGCATGCCAATCTTGCCGGCGATCCAGCCAAAAATGGCACGACAGCTTCTGAGTGGCTTGCTGACCATGTTGTGCCTGGGTTCCTACAATTCGCCATTGCACTTACAAAACGGCTGGAGCCAGCAGTCACCGGCTAGAGCAAAGGCCAAGGGAACTACTTTATCTCCCAGCAGTCAAGGTGAGTTGGAAGAAAGGGGCTAGACTAACAACACTGAAGAAGGGCGCCAGTGCAAAGTCTGAGGCTACAATGTCTTTTCTAGAGGGAATACATCTTTCCCATTTCATATTCTCAGGATTTCTTTCGTAAATGTACAACGCAAACGCGGCTCCGAGCTCCACGGGTACAATGGGGACGATGTTGCCCATGCTGCAAGCTGTACTCAGCTGCAAGAGTATATCATCCGAATTGAAAGGGTATACCAGACATGTTGGGCTCGAAATCCATTGCGAAAGCTCAAATTATACCCCAGCGACAAGAGTTTTGAGGGCAGTTGCTACTGAATACCGTCCGCGGTATGCCTAGCGTATCACTTTCGATTTCGACTCGAAGGGTCGACTCAAGGTAGATGACTATTTCGACTCCAAGCGGTTGATGAGCCCCGCGAAGCATCGCCGTCCGCTGACCATTCGATGGTTTCTACCCAACAATGACGCTCTCGATGTCGTTGCTTGTTCCGCGTCCAGTTCCGATATGGTTAGTGGCCGATCTCACGAACCCGGATTTCAGCGTCTATCGGCCGAACCACGTCCTCCAGTTCTGACGAGTCAAGCTTGGCATTCTGCCCTGTCCAACGTCTTTTGACTCCGGGCTAGACATTTTGGGAAGCAGAGGGGAAGGGCTAGCGAAGCGTGTGCACTGTCGTCCACGAGAGCTTGCTGCTAGCGAGGATGCCGCTAGATAGGGACGTCAGCGAAGGCATGCTTGTTTTTTCTTTTCTTTTTTCGAGAATGCCATACCTACGAAGTACTGCTTGTCATGAGCTACCGACTCGGCCTATTCCTCTCATTGCAGGCAGTCGACAAACGACTATCCGGTGAAATTACCGCGGTATCTGGACCAGCCTTCACGGGAACGACAAAGTGGGGTTTTGGTTCCGGGCATTGAGATCGCTGCCGCCTTCATACATAGCCCACATCACAAAGCAGGTCCTGTCACCCCCCGCTGTCTAGGTAGGGACGAATAGAGCCCGCTCCACAAAGCTTTCTGCTCCAGCCTCCGAGCTTCAGGGGCCCCTCTCTCTCTCTCTCTCTCTCTCTCTCTCTCTCTCTCTCAGGCTTCCGCCCGCCCCGGTGTGATGGGGAGAGATCCTGTTCAAACTGCACCATATGGCAGACTCTTGGCTCGGCCTTCGCCTTCCGGCTTGCGGAGGTCAACTAGCCGCGAGGAAAAGGGCTTGTATGGAACTATGGACTGGTAGGCTGGTTCCACGTCAACATTTTTGTATGCTGACAAACGTGATTTTGCTGGTTGGAAGGGGAGTCTTTTTAGCTTTCTAGGGGAGAGGGGCCGGCCCACGGTTGGTGCTGGGACTAAAATGAAAACGCGTTCTTTCGTGAAGTTGCTTGCACGCGCTTCGCGTCGCGCCGGGATTTCCTATAGCAAGCCCAAGCCGCTCTGCGGATAGTTATTCTGGGCGTCTTCCGTCTACCAGACGAAGCCGGGACCATTCGCCCGGGACGGTTGAAGTGATCTTGTTAAGTACCTATGAGGTGGGAAAGGCATAGCATTTGGGGGCTTCGCTTTCTCAGTCATGCTATGGGGTACTTTGTGTGAAATTTTGAAGCCTTCATCCTGTGATTGTGTTTATGCCATTTTTGCTTGAAGAGATGTCCTGCAGGTGTTCTATCTTCTCGTCAATAAAGGTTAAGATCCTGCCAACTTAGACCTTGGACTCATCAAGAGCAAGTCGACAGTCAACACTTCCATTTGCAATTACAGTATATTCCGGATCCGAGACCGGGCAGGCAGTAATGCGGAATTGACTCGGGCAGCAATACATCCTCCCCTGCTATTTGCCTCAGAGTGCTACAGTATCACCGATACCTGTCAGAAAGCCATGGACAGCGCGGTCCAGGTGTGGTCTAGACTCCAGGGGAGACATGGCATTTCGAGCCAGATCTCCCGTATTGATACCTACCCCCTCATTACCGGCGTCGGTCTTTGAGTTTTCTCTAGTTCCGCCTCGGATCCAACGTCAAATCCGAGAAACACCGCGGATCGCGTGTGCCGGTACAGAAGAGACTTCGCCACGCGGCGTGCTGTTTAGGTTTCCCGTGGTGGGATGTTGCTCAAGCCCGGCTGTCAGCTATCACTTTGTTCTTTTGTTGCCCTTTTCTCTATTCGAGTTGTCTTTGGTAGACTCGATATAGTTCGATCTCGCACGGGACGAACCGTTCGTACATGTACGTATTCGGCCGTTGGCCTTATACACATCCTTGACTGAGCCAAGTCGGGTGGAAGAACCCGCAATCTAGGGATTTGAAACAAGTGCGGAGTGGAAAGACTTAATAATACTACGGTATATATGATTGTGATGTTGGCGCTCCAATGGGATCTTTCCTTTCATCTACCGGAAGGTGTCCTGTTTGCGTATTCAAAGTGGGAGTAAAGTCAAATGTCGAACCTTCTCGGTAACCTTATTTGGGTGCCATTAGCACATCCCCTGTATACTGCACGACGAGCAAGGCAACCCTAAGCGGCGAGTGTATTTGATTATACTAGGCAGACTTGAGCATGACTGTTTTACGAAGACTCATTCCTCTGAGACTCTGATATGTCGATTTACTTGGCCAATATACACATCTCTTATTGACACCCGCCGGCCTTCAGATACTGTCAAATACAGTCTCTAATCGAGTCTAGCAGTATGGCAGAGACGTGTCAGAGCAGCTCCCAGCAATGAACTTCTGGCCCGCCTTGGGCATATCTGCTTCAAAGAGCTGCGCCGATGGATCAAGGATATGATCGATGATGTGAACGATGCCCTTGGACCAAACTCTCATTAGTACCGTTGCTCCGTGCAGTCAAAATTGTCAAGTTTTATATCATCTTGCTTCGAGGGGAAAAAACGCACCTTGGAAACCTTCAAATCTCCCTCCGTCACCGCCGCAACATCATTCAACCACACCTGTTCATCCTTGACCCGCGTGCCAACGTACAAGTACGACCCCGTCTGGAGCCTGGTCGCAGTCTCGTTGAAGACACTCGTGAGCAGCTGCGAATTGGGCACGTAGTGGTGCTGTACCAGGTTGCCGAGCCACCACTTGCCCTTTGGCGTCGGCGTAAAGGTGTTGAAGTACTGTCCCGTGTGTTTCTCAAACGCGGCGTTCGAGGGCGCGAAGAAGGTGAAGTCCCAGGTAGGGGTGGTATCGAACGCCTCCGTGAAGCCGGCGGACCCGTTGAGGATCTTGGCGAGCGCCGTCAGGTCGCTCCTGGAGTTGATAAAGTCTAGGAGGGTTGTCGTGTTGGAGGTCTTTGGGGTTACGTAGGTGCCTGCTGGTTTAGGCGCGTAGGAGAGCGGGTTCCTGTCTGCGGCGGCCGCTGTTGACATCGCCCCGAGAGTGAGGATGTTCAAGAGATTGGTTAACTTCATGTTATGTGTGATCAACAATGTTTCTCGAACTGACGTCGCGAGAAAAGGACGCTAGATTCAACGACACGAGGAGCGGTGGTCTTATACCATTAGATCCATATGGATCGAAGAACCACATGAGATCGTACACAGCACTCGCCATGTTCATTCTATCCAGATACCCTGTGACCAACGATTGGTCACCGGGGTCTATCTCCCGGCCCGGCTCCGTGCCCCGATAGTCGTCCCGGGATGCGGGGAACACGATGGCAAGACGATTCCCCGCAGATCTCATCTTTCCCCGTACGGGGAAGCTGCAGCGAAAAGATCCTCCGGGAGCAGTCGAACTTCCCCAGATGAGAAGAGTTCGTTCTTCCCACGAAAATTACCTCAGCCGAGTGGAGGTGCTTGTTTAAAAGGAAACCATGTAGCCTCCATGGCGTCGTGATTCTGACAATGTGTCCGTCTCCCAAACTTCCCCTCTAAAGCCAACATCATGCGATCTTTGACATTTCTCGCCATCCTCGCCGCAGTGCCCTCTGCCCTAGGGGCCAGCAAGCCGCAAATGGGTGAGAAATTTTCCCGTCTCATAGAACTTCACCAAGACACAAAGTCAATGTTCTACTCGCTTACATGTCATCTCTTCCCCTGCCAGGCTGGAACTCATGGAACACGTTCAAGCAGAATATCAACCAGACTCTGATCGAGAAAACCGCAACGGCAATGGTGGAAAAGGGCCTAGCCAAGGCAGGGTACAGCTACGTCGTCATGGATGAGGGCTGGCAGGCTCTCGAGCGAGCTGCCGACGGTCGGCAGCAGCATAATGCAACCCGATTTCCGTCGGGTATCTCTGCTCTTGCGGAACACGTACATGCCCTCGGCCTCAAAATAGGCCTCTACAGGTACTTCCCCTGTTCCCACCATTCTTTACTACTACTGCCCCCTCTTATGCGGCGGTCTGCCGAGGGAATATTGAGCTAGAGAGCAGAAAGGAGATGCGCACACACGTGGTAGCGAATACTAACGAAACCCTAGTGACTCGGGAATCTTTGGCTGCGGCTTCACCCCCGGCTCCTGGGGCTACGAAGAGCTCGACGCCCAAACCTACGCCGCCTGGGGCATCGACTACCTAAAGTACGACAACTGTGGCGGCTTCCAAGCGGGTACGCACACCCAGCAGGAACGCTTCCAAACAATGTCGTCCGCCCTCCTGGCGACCGGCCGCGATATCCTCTACAGTCTGTGCCAGTGGGGCCACCAATTCCCCTGGTACTGGGCGGATCAGGTCGGCGCCGCTTCATACCGCATGTCTGGCGACATTTACGCGCGGTTCGCCGAGGACAAGACCAACATCTGCAAGACAGCGTACTGTCTCAACACCGGGTACGCCGGGGTGAGCGTGCTGACCATGATCCGGAAGATGAGGGAGGTCTCGCCGTTTCAGGCAAAGGAGAGGGGCAGTTGGGCAGACATGGATATGTTGGAGGTCGGGGTCGGGTATAATCTTAGCGGGAAGATTGTGTACATGTCCGAGGTGGAGGAGCAGACGCACTTTTCGTTTTGGGCGGCGCTCAAGTCGCCTCTCATCATCGGTGCTGACATCACGAAGATCCGGGAGTCGTCGTTGAAAGTCCTGCTCAACGAGGACATTATCGCGGTCTCACAGGATGAGAGAGGCGAGGCTGCGAGATACTTGCCCGGGTTGTCGAAGGAGGAAGAGGTGCAGGTATGGGGAGGTGCCATCGAGACTGGGGGGTACCGCCACGTTATCCTTGCTTTGAACTACGGGAAGAATGCCACAAGCATCGAGGTGCCATGGGAGGAGGTCGAGGGGTTAGAGGAGTGTCACGGTGGAGGGTTGAAGGTGAGGGATGTATGGGCTGATGAGGACTTGGGCATCGTGAAGGAGAAGATCACTTTGGACGGGGTGGCGGTTGGACAGACCAAGATTCTCTTGCTATCTTGCTAGATATGCAAAGAGGTATTACGTGAGTGAATCGTTTATAGGGAGACACAACTATTTCAAGATGAGCTTTGGTAAAGCAACTCAAGATGTCGATAAATAGAGGAGATTATTCTACTAGCGTTTCAAGATATGAAGGATACTGTCAGTTTCCAAAGTATCTTTAGCTTTTCTAGTCCTGGTTTAATGCGTGAATCTCGCTCGACCTATGCTTATTTCGAACCGACTCCCATCAAGCCACACGAAGAAACAAGATGGGTGTCGAGACCATTAACAGAGGCGAGTTCAAGAAAATTAGCTTGATTCCCTTGATTAAATCGCATGCTTGCAAGTCCCAGCTTTCAACATGGTCGGGAACACTAAGACCGAGGAAACCACCTTGGCCCGGCACCAGCGGCAAGTCTCAGTGGCCATTTCAGAGGAACATCTGCGTCTCTTCGATGATGGCAATAGATCAATCCTTTCAAGCAAGGCCCTCGCTCATCTTTGCATCCCAAGTGGCTTGGCGCCTCCGACTCCCCCAGAACGGAGTGCGGAGCAAGTTCCGGACAACCCTCCGGCAACACCAACGCAACGCATAACATCCCACCGAGCAAGACAGACCGCAGTAAATCAACAGGCTATGCGGCCCGAAAGCTCTACCGCCGGGAGCCGACGAGTGGCCTGTCAACTTACAGACCGTGGTTTCATCGGGAAGTTTTGTCGGCGGGGATATTTTCCATGACTAAGGCGTTCTGTCTATGGGTATCGCCCCCCAAGAAGCCGGAGGTCTGGCAGGCAAATAGGACGAATAGCAAAGTGATTACTTGAACGTGGTGCCCCAATTGATGAGTTTCTAGTTAGTCTGGTTCATCCATTTCTCATATTCTTTGAGAAAGCGGACACTTTAACTTGTCATCGATTGCTCAGAGTCTGTCCACTGTGTGAAGAAGCACGGTAGAGGGAAACCACGATCAAGCTAGAGCCAGCAACATGGCGTCTGAAGCCACCATAGTCGACGACATTTCGGTCAACAACGGCCTAAACAAAAGATTAGTTGACGATGGTATAGACTCCAAGATGGGCGGAAACGCTTGCGTAAGTAGAACCATGCCTCTCAACGCCCATCACCATCGTCAATGCTAAGGCCCCTCCATGTTAACACAAAGTGTCCATTAACAACAGAAGCGCAGTAAACACGGCCAGGAAAAAATGGAAACGGTAGCCGGGCTTACGACTCCTCCATTCTCTTCAGCAGAGATCATCAAGCAGGGAGAAAAGTCTCTGGCAGCCTCGCTCTTCTCCCCCAAGGTCACGGCCAAGATCTGGGGCGTGGCACAGCAAAGTTTCTCTTCGGTATGAGGGGCTACCCCCAGCTTGATACCTCAAGTATCGAAAGTTTTCATCATCTGCTAACACATATTGTTTGTTGCGCAAAGTCTTCGCCACCGACCTTATTCCCGGAGTATACCAAACCAGGCGGCACCAAGTACGTCTATCGCGAACTCGACTTTTGGACCTCGGGTTTCTTCCCTGGTTGTCTCTACCTCCTCCTCGAGCGAAGGCGTAAACACCCACACCTCCTGAAACGGCTGGAGTGGTCAGCAGAGGAGGAGCCTCATTTACTACATCTCGAGTAATTCTCCCCATACAACCAGCATCACAAAAACTCCGACTGACTGACCCGTGACTCAAGGTTCGCTTGTAAGTGGTGGACAGAAATCCTCCACCCCAACGCAGAGCTCAAGACGACACATGATCTGGGCTTCATGATCTTTCCTTGGGCACGACCCGCCTGGGAACTCTCAAATGACCGCAGATCCTTCGAGACGGCCATAAAGGCGGCGAGGTCACTGTATAGCCGGTACGACGCCGCCGTGGGATCCATTCGGTCGTGGGACGTCTGCGTAACGAAGCGATACAAGTTTCTGGACCCGAGTAAGGACTTTCTCGTGATCATTGTAAGCACCATCCCACAACTACCGTCAACACCTTGAGGCATGATACTAACCGAAATCAGGACAACATGATGAACCTCGACGTGATCTTCTGGGCCGCTTCCCAGCTGGGAGATGACAACATGTGGAACGCGGCTGTCAAACACGCCGAAACGACGCGAGAGCACCACATTCGGTCCGACAATTCCACCTTTCACGTCGTCAACTTTGACCAGGCGACTGGTGTGCCAAAGGAAAAGATTACGAATCAGGGATACTCCGATACGTCCTCATGGTCGAGGGGACAGGCGTGGGCCATCGCCGGATTCGCGCAGACGTACGGCTGGACACGGGCCCAATCTTTCCTCGATACAGCCATCTCGTGTGCGGACTACTTTCTCGAGCAGCTCCCTTCGAGCGGGATCCCGCCGTGGGACTTTGCTGCGCCAAAAGACAGTGCACAGCCTCCGGATGTCAGCGCAGCCATGATTGCGGCGTATGGCATGCTGCTCATTCACGAGGCTCTGACGGCGCTTGGAAGGTCGTCGACGTACCTGAGAAGTTCTATCGGCCTAATCCGCGCTACCTGTAACAACCATGTCAACGGTGGCGGAAGCTATCTGAAGTCCCAAAGGTCGATCGATACTGTCGAGCACGGCACAGTGGTTGACGAAGTAGGTTGGGAGGTGGACATGGAGGCCGAGCCGGAGACCATATTGAATGGGGCAACTATCAATAACTACGAATCTGCGCCGCGAAGGTGGGCAAACCACGGACTGGTGTACGCTGACTACTTCTTCCTGCTAGTGGGGAACAAACTTCTGGAAATGGGCGTCGGAGAGTTGTTTGACGACAGCCGGTCATGAGCACTTGAACATGGAGAATGATTGAAGTGTAGTTAAAGAGTCTCGTCTGATCAGTTACTCGTAAATTATGTAAATACGCATTCCTAAGTCCAAGAAGCTTCTTAAATCAACGGAATATGATATCGTCATCTTTCGTCTGGCAATGCATTGACTACTCTTTCTCTACTGCCCCCGAGAACATGCTAATTCTCTGATTCGGCAAAAAAGAGTAGTCCAAGTAAGCGTTGAGGTCTTCGAAGTCTCCAGTTGGGTGATGTGTGGTGCCATGGTTATTTGGAACGCCGACGTCGAAGTGATCGTATCCATTCACGTGGCTTGGCGGTATCGCACCGCCGGGCATTGGCGAGGGCATGGCCGTCGGGCCTCTGCTTGCACTTTGCGCATGGAACGCTATCGGGAGTGGAGGAAATGCCAGAGATATACTGTCAGGGGAAGCCTCTTGTTCAAAGTCCATGGTGGAAGTTCCAAGGCCGCCTAGAAAGGCCGATTCTTGGCCGGTGGCTTGACTCGGCGAGAATGCAATATCTCGAAGGTTCGATCTGATACGAGACATCCCAGGAGTCTTTGGGTTATCTCCAGACGGTACGGAGATTGTGTCTAGACGGGCATCGTCCGAGTAGACTGCTTGCCGGATATCGAGCATTCCCCTGCCCTGATGCCGCGCTTGAATCAGCCGACCGGCGAATTTGGATGCCAGGTTGTCAGACACATCACCTAGACCGTTCCACCTTTGAGCTATAACATTGAGGCTGTTCACTAGCGAATCAAAGCCATCCGGAAGAGCAAAATTGTAGTATGTTGAATGGGCCAGGAACATTCGTCCGCAGATGAAGAGGCAAAACGCGAATTGTGGGCTGACAACTTGCTGCGAGTCTTGGAGAAATTTCTCGGCAATGATAGCCACTTCTGTTGCCGCAGCCATGCATGTTTCCGCACTAGATGCTGACGGCAGTCGTATTCCAGTAGCTTGCCATTCGGGCAACGGATAGGCGACGCCCTGATGAAGCAGCACTACGCTTGAATTGTGCGTTAGGTGAGCGAGAGTGAGATTAGGGTCCATGATGCCGTCCACATTAAGAACGCATGCCTCCCGCCACTGTTCGGGAAGGAAAATCTTCCACCTGTATGATATCAGTCTCTCTCTTCAAGTCGATCGTTACTGGAAGACCCACTGTACTAGACGCAAGTCAAGTTGCTTGAACTTCATCAACCAGACTTGGATCTCGTGTGGCTTGGAAACATCGATAGCTTGCTGGAGGAAGAAGGACGTCACGAGACTGAGGCTCTCGGTAGCTTCGATGCAGTACGCAAAGCCCCCAAGTGAATCCTGAGCTGCCTCTTCCAGACGTGCAGCAGGAAGGGTCCCACTGGAGCCGCTGGACTGATCAGCTACACCGAAATATGGTGTTGGGGTCTGGAGCGGTTCTCCATTCTCCCAAAGCGCCCCCTCGCAGGGTAGACGTCGTTTTACGTCTGCGCTGGTAAGAGAAAAGTTCCAACCTGTTGCGACACTGCAGAACCTGTCCATCAGGAAGATATTCCAGAAGACCCGACGCCTCTCTTCTCGTTCGCTCCAGCTTCGACAAAGCGGCAGGAATGCCATGCGCTTGATGAGGTGCTTCGCAGCCGGTGGTTGGTCTTCATCTTCAACACTGAGCTGTAATTGTTCAACCGTTCGGGTCATGCTTCCAACGATAGACTAAAATACGTGAGTATGAGACAAATGTGAGGACACGGGCCACTAACCCAAGCTGATGGACCTCTACCACTGCCGATCTGCGTTCATTGATCAGCTTTGTTATTTCCAGACAAGTTGGATACAGACTCGGGACTGTTCTTACGGTGTCAAAGGCAATTATTGTCAGAGCCTGAAGATTCTCCACTGAGAAGGACTCCATACTGTTCAGTATTACATACTGCCGGCATCTTCTTGCCTTGCGTGTCTTTTCCTCGGGCAGTCCCAGACGAGGATCCTGGGAGAATCTTGCGCACAAAGAAACTATGGCATGAAATATGGTGCTGAGATGGGGTCGCTGAGCTGGATCCTGCATTCTCTCCCGAAATTGGCGCACGTGGAGCATGGGAATCCAGGGGTGGATATTGGAAAAGTAAATCTCGACAAGAGTATCCATGAGGTCGGGCTCTGGCAGTAGGTCCGCTTCGGTCACCCGGTCAAAATTGAGACTTGTTCGCGTCCTCGTTTCCGCTGTCTTTCCTAGAGCGACATTGTCATTTGTAGGAATGGTTGCAAGCGTTGTCAACGCAGGCTCTCCGCCTTCGGCCAGCGTTGCGAGGGTATTCTTGAGCGAAGTTGTTCTCTCGTTGAGTGATACATTCGAAGAGCCGTCTTGGCTTGGGCTGGGAGCATTGCGGCTGGCTGCCGAGTTCAGGCAATTGAAGACCTGTTGCCATAAGACGCCCTGGCCGAGAAACATGTTTTCGAGCGTGGCTTCAAGAGGATATCAGCTGTATGACAACATTTTCAAAGACTCGCGAGATGCGTACCGACTCTCTGGCTGAGGTTCTCAACGGCGCCAGTGCGTAATCCTGGTTTGGATCTTCTGTCATCGTACACACATTCTACATCTGAGAAAAATGGCATTAGGGGGGCTTTCTTCGCTGGTGTCAGAGTAGAGACTGACTGTATCGTACACAAGCCGAGCAAGGCTGCCGCCTCGAGCATCTGGCTTTCTTCTTTCGACAGGATTGACAGCTTTAGACGTCGTATCAGCATAAATCGGCCATTTGGGCAGTCGTTAGTTCGGATGTTATCTCACGCGGGGCCTTCAGTATCAACGCCGTTCGCTTGCGCACTTGAGTTTGTCCGCCTCTTCTTGGTTCGGGGTTGGTTGTCTTCCTCTCCACCAGAGCGACCGGACAGCGCCTCGTCGTCGTCTTCGAATACCATTGCGCATACAGGAACCGCAGGAAACCACGGTGAGAGATGAAGACGGAGTTTGGAAGATGCAATGACGAGGAATTCTTTTCTTCACATTCTTTTCCAGATCATGGCAGGAGCTATCTAACCGATTTGCACACCTCCCGTCACTACCTAAGTATCCAAACCAAGTGAAGGCACCGCTGTCGCAAGCCACTTTTGGGGGTCATGTCGGGGTAAGACCTGAACGTGGAGAAGTTGCATGCGGGGAAGACTGGGCACCCATCACAATAACATGCCACTGGACCGCTAAAAGAAGCCGCTATGGAGGGGATCCTTGACTTCAGAGTCTGGTGATCGTCGCTGTAACCGTTCAACCACACTAGAGTTTCTTTAGAAAAAATAGACTATTCTCCCTCGTCTGAAGGCTTTCGAGACTGTAATGGTAGAGCCGTAGAGGCCGGATGAACGGCGTGACGATGAGCGTTTGAGTGTTTGAAGGAAACTCCATTATTCTTAGAACACAGATCTAGCTTTACGTTGCCTCGATCTTCCTAATCAGATCAAAATTATCTAGTCAGTCCTCATGGTAGTAAAAACAATGGGCTAGAAGTCAACACAGGTGTGAAGTACGGAAGATGACTCCTCCAAAAGACGGATAAGCAAGTAACTGTAACAACCTCGGATACTCAAAATGAAAAGAGGAGGCCGGGGAGCTTAGCGTAACCCCGAATCTTGATCTTTTTGGTCTCAATCAGAGCCTTCTGCCGTAACACTACTGCATAGCAACGCCCCCGGTCTCTGGACTGACGATCCGCCCACAAACCCCAGCTCCGGGCGCGGGCGAAGTACCGGAGGCTGCCCCGAGGAGACATTCCCGCCCGCAACCTTCGCCCCGGATCACCATCAGTCCACGTTTTTGTCCTCTAGGAGCGTCTCTGACTCCGCTGTTCCGGGCTTGTGAAAACTGGGGTCCCCAGAATTTCGATATTATTTGCATATAGAGGCTCACGATCCAGGGAAATCCGGGGTAAGCTATGAGACATGATCAAGCAGCCTCGACTACATCAAGTCTGAAGATAATTAACTCCATTTCACTGCAGCAGCCAGAGGGCCGTACAGCATGAAGCAAGGGCATACCGATAAGGAAATTGGCGACAATGCCATCGCCCCGGCACCTTCCAATGTGGCTTACGAGCACCAGGAAGAGGACAAGTCGGCGAGTTCGCCCTTTCAACGCCACTGGTCCATGATTCCATGGATGCCGACTTCAACGTAGGAGTGGAAGGTTCAAATTGGATACAGGGGGCTGGAAAGAAATCCAGACTCTTGATTGCCATGTATCTTTCATGGGGTGGGATGACATTTGTCTAACACACCTCACAGATCAACGCCTATGCCGATGCTCAAGCGATCTACGTTGACGACAAGACAAGCAGGAAGCTTTTCTGGACAGTCAACAGACGAATCCTCGCTTGTATGCTGGGAACCTACTTCTGCCAGTCCCTCGACAAGGGCACCCTTGGCTTTGCCTCCATCATGAACATCAAGCAAGACGCCAACCTCGTGGGCCAACAGTTCAGGTACTTCAATACCTCTTAGCCGCATAGGGGAAAAAGAAGTGACTGGAGATCAATGGCTAACTTACTTCCCATCAGCTGGCTCGGGACTATCCTGTACATGGGTGTTCTTGTCGGAGAGTACCCGACCAACTTGCTCCTCCAGAAGCTCCCCGTTGCAAAATATCTCGCCGCCAATGTTTTCTGCTGGGGCATTGTAATTGCATGCTCGGCTGCCGCGAAGAACTTCACAGCTTTGATGATTGTCAGATTCCTGCTCGGAGTATTTGAGTCTTGTGTTCAGCCGGCGTTCATCATCATGTTTGTCAACCCTAGCCCCTGAATGGTAGACCATCCTGCTGACACAAAACTGCCAGGACTTCAATGTGGGTATGTATTTACCCTATTTCTAGCTCCATCATCTCTCATGATATACCAACAAAGTAATTGGAACTAGTACACGAAGAGAGAACAGTCCATCCTGACCTCCCTCTGGTACTGCATGAGTGGAGTACAGCTCATGGCACGTCTGCCCCCTCTAAGCCTCGAAACCGCCTCCATGACACTCGACTAACAAACGCATGACAGATCGGTGGCATTATCGCCTGGGGAGCCTCCCACTATAATGGCCACGACATCAAGTCGTGGCAGCTTCTCTTCCTCGTCCTCGGCGTCGCGACCTGCACCTGGGGCCTCTTCATCGGCTGGTGGCTGCCCGACTCGCCCATGGCGGCCAAGTGCTTCAACGAGGACCAGAAGCGCCTCATGATTGAGCGTGTGCGGGCTAACGAGACGGGCATCCAGAACAAGACATACAAGCGCTACCAGATGATTGAGACCCTCACCGACCCCGTCATCTGGTGCTACGTCATGCTTCAGGTCACTTCCACCCTCATCATCGGCGGCCTCGGCGTCTTCTCCAACCTCATCATCTCCTCGTTCGGGTTCACGTACCTACAGACGCAGCTGTTGAATATCGCACAAGGTGCCGTCACCATCTTCGTCATGATTGGTAGCGCGACATTGGCTACCTGGTCGAGGCAGACTGCCTGGGTCATGCATGTAAGTGATAGCCGCGAGATCTACCCGCTGTGTAAAGACGGTGCTAACTCTTCTCGCCTTTAGGGATGCACAATGTTAGTAATGACCCGACCCAAAAGAAAGACTACGTGATATGCTAACATATAGAACAAGTCCCGCCATCATCGGCACAGCCATAATCTACAGCATTCCCCCCAACGCCAGCAACCGCATCGGCCTCCTCCTCGCCTTCTACTGCACCCAATTCTACCTCGCCGAGGGCAACCTCATCTTCTCCCTCATCTCGCGCAACGTCGCGGGCCAGACCAAGAAGTCGACGACGCTGGCCATGACCTTTATCGGCTGGGCCGCCGGCAACATGACGGCGCCCCAAATCTTCCAGGCCGCCGACGCGCCGCGCTACCGTAAGGGCTTCACGGCCCACTTCTGCCTCTACGTCCTCTTCAACCTCTTCCTCGTCCTCCTGCGCTTCCTCCTCGTCCGCCGCAACATGACCAAGCGCAAGGCCGCTGCCGCCGCGGACCCGGCGAACCTGGCGGCCGAGGAGGTTGAGCAGGACGTCGGTAAGGGCGGGGCTGCCGGGGCTAATGACGAGAAGATTGAGCACTCGAATGCGTTTGCCGATATGACGGATAAGGAGAACCCCGACTTCAGGTATGACTTCTGAGCAGTGTATCTAGGCTTGAGTTGGTTGGCCTTTCGTAGGCCTTGATTCCGGAAGGCAGGCCTTAGTTGATGGGAGTACCGCGAGATGTGTGGCTAGAGACGCAAAGATGCTGGGTGGTGAAGTGGGCGACACAATGATTTGCCGTTTAATATCTTACCTCTTTTTCTTCTACCACTACTATCGCCATATTGGCTTCCTTATTCACTCGAGGTATTTTGCTCTCTGTAATCCCCTTGAACATCATACTTCAAGGGCTATTATAAGGGGGTGGTAAGGGGATTACTTATAAGAAGGGTAGTAATTATATGCTGACCGACACCCTATTTTGTTATCCAATTCGCCGGTTAAAATGTGTTGGCACGGCAGAGATAACGTTAGGGTTTCCGTCAACCCAATAGGAGACGAACTGCAACAGAAGCATACCTATTACTCTGAACTCAACATCCAATGCAACTCGCAGTTGAAGCGCCACAAGCCGTTGGAATGTCTCAGCATCTGTTCCCGCTTTTGTGCCTCTTGACACCCCTGTCTCATGAAATGCCCTTAGTCGAGGAAATATTGCGGCCCACACCTTGCCCACAAACTTCAGCACAATTCCCGCCACTCCTCTCATCCAAGGACATCCACTTGGATTACAATCTGCCCTGATGGTCTAGCGGTATGATTCTCCCTTAGGGTCTTCACGACACGTCTGGGAGAGGTCCCAGGTTCGAATCCTGGTTAGGGCCCAATCCTTTTGCTGATTTGGGAGATATCTCTTTTGAGTGATGGAATGCGAGATTTTGGTCAAATTTTTTTTTGCAGCATGTGGTGGTTGGTGGTCGGTGTGTGACTAAGAGTGTGGCGCGTGCGCAATAATAAGTCTTTGTCTTTTTTTGTGTCTTTCGTCACTGGGGGTTGATGAGATTGCTACATTAGATTGTAGCTACACACCTGCTTGTTTGCTTATCATCGAAGCACATCATCTTGAAGTGCCGGGCTGCGCCGCTGCAGAACATGCAGTAGGATTTCCCAGATTTTCGGGCGCAGTGGTAATTTGAAAGGTGTTGGCTCGCAGCACAGTTTGTGTCTCATCTACTCCGTATCCATACTGCATCAGGAACAACTGGGAAGATGATCGCCTGGTAGCGAACCGTGACATCGAAACAACACGGAACAAAACAAGGACCACAATGAGTGAATCATAGGCATTTCAGTTCAGTCCGACGAACGTAAGCCCCCCGGCGCTGAATTGCCGGACAATAGAAATGGAAACTGCATCGCTGTTTCCAGGCTCGCAGTCGCAGTGCGCACGTTTCCTGATGATTGCACCCATGAATCGAAATTGAAATACCAGACGACGCAGCGGAACGGAACGGCAGCGCAGGATACACGAAACGACAAAGAGGCAGGGTTTCCCGTCAAGCATCGAACACCACGGCAATGCTTCCACTCGGATAGCATGCCTTCTCAGTGGACCCGGGGCTCTTTGTCGAAAGGCCAACAACACCAGACTGTCAGAGGTCTGCACTGTCCCTCAGAAGAGAGTCGGATAAGGGTTGGAAGGTGTTTTCTTGACAGGTCTGGGCGTCCAAACCAGCGGGAATTCTGAAGAAGAAAAGTCCGAGAGTTATTCCATGCAATCCACAGGTGCGTTGCGGGCATACCGGGACACAGATGTTGTTATATGCTAGGTATGCATATGGATATAGAGATGCGTAAGACGACAGAGCCTCATTATTTTAGGCAGTTATTCATGTGACAGCCGTAAAATTGAGATTGAATACGGAGTACGGATATCACACTCTGATGGAAAGAAAGAGGAAAGAAAAATAAAGGGAGGGTCCGAGACGACGTTAGCGCTTCAAGATCCCTGGCGTCGTTCCCGAGGAACCACAACTGTCCACGAGCACCGCCAGTCTTTTTTAGTCGCGCATCTCCGGATTACCTTATCACGAAAAGGGTTGGTGGGGAAGCGTTGAAGCGCCAGACATGGTTCGGCAGGTCAGCCAAGAGGTTGGAAATTGGGCGGTAGGCGGGCGGTAATGTGGTGCCACCGTACCACCGCAGTCTTGAGTCTATGGGAAAAGGCGAGACCATCGGGCTGGAATCTCACTGGATCGTGCCACGACGGGGGGTGGGGGGGGGCTCCTCTCAAATTCAAATTTCGCGGGCAGGGCTCACAGCCTCGGGCGGCGGGCCTGAAGCCTGGAGAGGACTGGAGGGGAGGAAAGGATTCTGAATCGGTAGAGTACTCCGGTGCCAGGAGCTTGCCTTGCGCTTTCGTACGAGTGCCAAGTAAGAGCCGGCCGACCTTGCCTTTGAACAAGGCGTCTATCCGAATAACCCATCACTGGTAACTGCGGTACGGAGTACTCTGTGAGTAGTCGGGCTGGCCGGCACACAATGTGGACACAAAGAGGCCATCGACGCGTGTTATAGTGGTATTCGCTATCGAGGGTTGTGACATGTCTCGCGTTGCCGCGTCCACTTGATGAGCATTGGGGGGTGTTCCTGAATTCGTCTCCTGTTTGATGATGTAAGTCGAGGAGGCTTAAGTGTCTCGAGGTGCTTTGGAGGACAGACCATTGGCCGCTGAAGTAAGCGTAACAATAAGGTATTCTTTCCTTGAGGTACCTGAAATGTCGCAGGCATGAGCCATGCTTCACCACGTGAAGAGATGTAAAGGAAGAAAAGGCTACGTAATGTAGCGTTCCAGCTTGTGGCTGGTGGGCCGTGACTTCTTTCTCTTTTTCTCTTGGAGTCTGGCAAGGGCCAAGCAAGGGCCAAGGAAGGTACGCGCAGCCCTAAGCCATTGGCTCAAACGGACGACCACCCCAATCTGGCGACTCTTGGACGATTCCAGCGCTGTAATTGGTCACGATCCCGAACACCAGCGCCTGCACGGCTCGATTGGTGCGTGCCACAGCCGCCTGCATGAGGATGCCCCTCGATCCTGAAACGCAGTCCGTCAGGGAGTCGGATTCATCGCGACCTCCCTCAGCCCTCTTCTTCCCCCCTTCACAGTTCTCTTTCTGCTGTTGTCTCCATCTCTTCGCACGGCTCCATCTCGCTGTCATGGGCACAGAAACAGGGCCTCCAAGGCACAGTGTGGATGAAGCGTGGGCTGGTCCCAAGGTGTTTCTGGTGCGTTTCTCATCCTCGCGTCTGCTGTTCGAGCCTTCCAAGACGGACGAGGGGCCCTGACCGCCCGCCAATACCATAAACTAATGTACGGATACGTAACCACGTAACCACACACACTCTCTCTCGAGTGGTCTCGAGTTTCCAGGTCTCGATACAGCGCCCCCTCGCCTGGCTGATTGAATCTGGCGATTCTCCTCTGGGGTCTCCCTTGCCTGCGCAGGTCTCGTCCGAGACAGTATTGTGGACCCCCCTTACCGGCTGCTCTCCCGCTCCACCGCCCACGTCCCATTCTCCCAAGGACCCAGAGAGACTGCACTCAGACCTCGTCTCTGTTGCAGCACGAGGCACTAGACAGCATCTCTCTTCCTCTCCTCCCACTCCTCCGTGCTGCAGTCGGGTTTTTTCCATCTGGAGGGTGATTTTCGGTCCATCTTCACGTTTTTCCTGTACAATCGTTCACTCCAACCTTATTCCCTTCTTAGCGACGGCTTCGTCGACTTCTCTCTTTTCAAAAACCCTTTCTTCTCGTGTGCTCGTCCCCCGCTGGGTGGTGGAGGTTCCGTTTTATTTTTGCTGGTCGAAGACAGTCCTTACCCGCCGACACCAGTGAACACCGACGACACCGACGACGACGCAATACCCCCCGATCTTCCCTATCGATCAACCATTTCTAGACGAAAAAAGACGCCGGACGTCAAAATCAAACATCAATCTCTAAATCGCAAAAATCTAAAAACTATTTCCAAAAAAGAGGAGAAATTGCAGGACGAAGGAGCAGCCAAGTCTCTCCGAGCGACATCTTGGTTCTCGGGTCTCTAGGCTGCTCGGTTTAAACGAAAAGCTTCAGCCATGGCGAACAAAGTGCTGATGACCTTCGTGGTCGCCGACATCATCTTCGTCATCACCGGAGCCCTGCTTCTGGGTTTCACCCTCATCAACCAGAACCTCATCAAGGAGACGCCCACGGAAGGAAGCCAGGCTGTTATGCGCCTGCTCACGGCCCAATTTCCACTGACAGGTATGACACTCTTGGAGAATGCCATTTATCTTACGGAAGTAGTGGAAGGAACGTTTCGGACATCGTGACTGACTTTGACTTATAGCCGGTATTGCCAATGCCGTCTTCATCTTCGTTACATTCCTCTCCACCATCCCCGGCATGATCACGCCAACTCGTGGCTGGCTCAAGATCTCGGGGTACCTGACCACTCTCTGCGGTGTTTTTAGTTTGGTTCTTGGTGTCTACCTTTGGGTTCTTACCCTCACCACCAAGAACGACTTTGGCAAGACGTGGAACGTCCAGGACCCTCGTGTTCAGGAACTCATGCAGACTGCTGTAAGTGAACTTTCGGTTCAAATATGAACACCAATTACTGACACTCGTCATCAGTTCAAATGCTGCGGATACTTCAACAGCACTTCACCCGCCTTCGTCACCGACGCCCAGTGCCCGAGTCCCGCCGCCGCCGCCCTGCAGCGCGGTTGCGCAACCCCGATCACGAGTTTCGCCAACATCTTCGTCGACAACATCTTCACCGCCGTCTTCGGTATGGTCGGTATCGACGCCATGCTCATTGTCAGCATCGCCATGCTGCTCAAGGATCGCAAGGAGCGCGAACGCTACCGCCACATTGACGAGAAGGCTGGGTACCGCGGTTTCTAAGCTGGCGGTTCGGCATTGGTTCATCAGGGCAAAAAAAGCCGCTGGCTCGAGTTGGCGCCCAATCTCGTTGTCTCTCTCTTGCTCGGAAAACCAGCCTCTCGGGAACTCCTTTTCTCTTTTGCGTGTAGCAAATCGGAGCGAGCAACTGTTTCTGGTCTCCTTTCTTCTGGACCGGGGAAAAGACTGAATCGCCTCATCCCCGCCGCGGCCATTGATTGGTCTTAATCTTGTTCCGATTTTCTTTAGACAAAGTGGACAGGCAGAATCAATAACTTGACCCCCCCCTCCCTTTTTTTTTCTGCCTTCCGCAGAAGCCCTCCGTTACCATACCTTGATCATAAGGTGGCGACGGAGTGGTGTACGAATCTTAACGCATGGAAACGAATTTTCGGACGGAGATATTCGAAGCGACAGGTCTTTTTTGTGTGACGGCCAACATTTCTCTTACCTCTCTCAAAGCCTTCCCTACCGACGAACCCCCTTCTTTCTTGTTTGTGCGGACACCATATATAGATTTTTAGTGTTGATTATCTCTGTTTTGTAAAAAAGGGGGGAACTTGCCCTGAAAGCAATAGCTGTTTTTTCAACCTTCTCGTCTCGCTCGATGGGTGTTGACTGTGACTTTGTGTGTGTGTGTGTGTGTGTGTGTGTGTGGACTCAAATGATATCGATGGGAGGCCGTGAAGCG